AAAGGAAAAAAAGAGAGGTGTTACTCAACTTTACGACCAATTCCCGCATATTAAAGAAAAAAAGGTAAAAACATGTAAAAAATGACATTTAAAAGCCAAGGATACTTTTCAAACAGCCCTTTTTAAAAAAAATCAAGAATAACAGAAATTCTTCTGGATGTTTGAATGTTTCAGTATCAAAACGCTGAACGATGAAAATCTGCTGTTCGACCGAATATTTCAAACATTTTCGAGAAATCTTTTACGAACCGGGATTCAACAGCAGAAGATTGAACCCACTCGTGTGTGTGTGAACTAAATATGAATCTAAAGACCGAACCAGCGTCTTATCTTGTTTTACTTGTTTGTAAAAAGATTTTAGCTTCACATTTAGAATATTAACACGAGGGGTTTTTAAAAACATGTGGAACTTTTCCTTTTAAAATTGTCGTGATTGAAATCATCCCTCACCTTGTTTTGAGATGAGACGTTCGGAGCTTCGCCCCTCCTCCGCTAAGAAAGTGTGAAGTCGTCGAGTTAAAGAAGGGAACTGTGTCGGGGAACGTCGACTGTTCTCAATGCTATATGTTTCTTACAGTAGATTCTTGTTCAGCTGAGAAATTTACATTTCATCTAACATGTGCTTTTTTTTTTTTTTTTCACATAATGTGACCTGGAAACACACAAACATTCCTGAAACACCGTGAAATGTTGTATTTTCTAGAGCGACACATTCAAACACACAACAAAAGCTGCATTAAGCAATTTTCTACCACTATGGACACAGACCTGTTAGCAAGCAGCTGCTTCTTTTCCCGTTCAGAGGAGGAAACAGCTCTTCCCACTATTTCACATCATTGCCCACCTGATGAATGCAACGTCAAATAGTCCAGATTATGATTTTTAGAAGCCGTGTGGATCTGCAGAGGTGGATGTTTAACTCTGGGTTCAGCAGCATGAGGAACATTTTCATCATCACACACCTATTTAAATAATTTATACATCAAAAATCTGCTTAATGGAGCTTTCCGCCTGATCCGGGCTCCGTTGTATGTTTTGTGTTTCCCGGGACAAGAAGCTGGACTTTCAAAAGACCGTTACTGTATGTGGAACATTATTTTTCTTGAAAGTATTTACTGAATGGCTTTTTTTATGGTTGAAGGTTCAGACGAGAAAGCTATTTATTTAAAAAAAAAAAATTAAAAAAAAGGATTTCCTCACAACCACCATGCATCTGACTGCAATAGCAAAAACACAGGTTTGTGTTTTCAGCAAAGAAAAAGCTCGCAACTACTCACACTCACTCCTGTGTGCCAATGTGTAGTACATGTATATAGCATTGAGTACATGAATATTTATTGAAAGTGAAAAGGTCCTGCTTTGTTTTTACAGCATGTGAGGAACTGATCAATAAGCTGCAGCCGATAAACCATTGAAACCTGATCGCCTTGTTTTTCCTCCACATTTTCTCCCTTTAACTGGATCTCTAAAAAAAAAAAAACACACAAAAAAACGCGATAGCCTAGAAATGACATTGTTTTTTTTCTGCAAACAATTAGATGTAAATTTACGAGCGCAATGCTGAGATGTTTGACCTTTGAGTAAGAAAGCTGTTTTCTCACAGCTGTTTTGTAGAAGACGTAAACGGAGCTGTCGCATCACAGCAACACGTACTGAGACGAGTGCTTTATTATAACCAGTAAAACATAACTAGTGTAGAAGCAAGTTGTTTTTTATGCTGTGTGTAGTTTTCTAACCCATTTTTACATTTTCCTCCCCAGTTTCACATCCGTTACTCGCCGCCTATGAGACACGCGGGTGTCGTAGAGAGCTTGTACTGAGACGTAGGATCGTTGTAGGTGTTTCATTGACAATCCCTGAGCCGCAGACAGATAGTACTGCATAGGATTCTCCATGTACTGTATCAATACCCCCTGTACTACCCATGTAACCATTGTCCTGTCACACACTCTCTGCTCTATTTGCTTTTCCATGTACTTGTGTAGATTGAAGTGTACACTACTGATACTGTTTGTTGTAATGGGGAGCACATAGCAATAAAAGATATGATCAACTACTCGGAGTTCTGGTTTCATCTGTGAGGTTCAGCACTGAAGCAGCGTTTTTCATGTCAGTCGGCGTTTCTCGTTGAAGAAAAACCCAAAAGCAGAAGACACGAGTTTAAACTCTTTATAGAGAATCAGCTGCTTCCAACATCTGTGGAGAACTTTAGAAACTATAGTCTATGTACGCGTCGCTTCTGGTTGGACTAACACCAAACCAGAAAAACCTTTCCAACCAGTTTCTCTGACTCCACGCGACATTGACGTGAAGTTTCCCAGCAGAGTTTTTCCGACACAATGTGTGGTTGTGCGTCAGAAAGTGTTCTGGAAGTGACCACTTGTGTTTGCGTCTCTCCCTTCCCGCCTCATCATGCAATGAAACGTAATTCGTGTTGAGAGAGCGAATGACGTGGTTTTCAGTCGGAGCGTGTGGTTAAGAGACGAGAGGAGCCGGGAGGAGCTGAGGGGATGAACGTGCGGAGCTCTACAACGAAAACACAGAGTTTTGTTTTATCGTGAAACTGTAGCAGGTCAGAGGTCGTCAGCTGAGGTCGTCCTCCATTGTGGTCCAGGACACACGTCACAGATAAAAGACGTCACACAACACTTCCTATACTGTGGTCGGAGCAAACGCACCCAAACATCGCTGGGGAAGCTTTTAAGATCCCATCACTCAGAACACAATGGGCCGAGGTCTGAGTGACGGGATCTTAAAAGCTTCCACAAAACATTTTGTGCTTTTACAACTGCACTTAGAGCTGAACGGACATTAACCTCAGGTCAGAACAGGGTCAGAGAGAGAGAGAGAGAGTGTTTTTAACACATAAATTCATTAACTTCCCAAACGCCAGATTCCAGATGAGGAGGAAGGTTATTAGAAAAACCGTGTGTGATCTATTTCCCTGGATTTCTGTGACTCCTGCGTCCTGATGCTGTTTTTAAATCACAGTGTTCAGCCTCTTCACAAATAAATTACAATTAATACAGTGAGTTTTTATTTGTGTAGCGAAGTCGTTTAATTAAATAATCGATAGTGAGATATTACACGTGATTACAGTCGTTTCCTTGTTTTCTCTCCTAAATTAGTTTTTTCTGAATCACATCTGTGACTAAATAAGTTCATTGATTAACAAACGACAGCTTCGTTCACGTGTATTTACATCTGAGTTTGAGCCTCTGTTGCTCACACACACATTTCAGATGTTCATTTATAGGCTTTATTGATTTAAAGTGAGACACTGTAATCGTTTTCCATTTAAGTGAAACTGCAGTGCATGACATTGCAGCTGCTTACAGTCGCACACGTCGATGACATTTAATTATAATGATAATTAAAGCACGAGTTTTCCAGACCGTCGTACAAATATAGGAAAACACAATCAGTAATAATAAAACGTACTGAAAGACAGATGGACGATCCATTAACTGCATTAAGACGGTGAGGATATTCAGCTTAATATTTGTACTTTGGGAGAAAGTGGCGATTTTATATTTATATTTATATTTATATTTACAGTCAATGGTCAGAAATCATCCTGCTGTTTATCACTGAGGGTCTTTTACAGATAAATATCATGACGTGGAGGTCAGGGGTCAGGAGAATATTAATTAGTGTAGAAAGTAAGAAAACATCCAGAACCACATAAAAGACAATTTGGAGAAAAGACGTGTGGCTCAGGGGGGAGAGCGGGTCGTCCTCTAATGTGAGGGTCATAGATGCACTGTGTGATGTTTGTCTGGATAAAACAACAATCATCGATGTTAGAAACCTGTGTTGCATCAAATGTTTCTCTCCAGTAGATGAATATCAGTTAATTAAATTGGATTTGATTTGTGATAATTCAAGTTTATTTTCAAGTGCCTGATATCTATCACAGTGGTACCGCCCACACACGGAGCAGCCTGACGACGAAGAGGAGGATTTACAATCTTTGACCTGAAGCTTCCTCACTCATGTTTCAACAGTTCCGACAAACAGCATCAACAACACTTCTCCTTGGAAAGTCGACGCATGAGGCGACAAAAACTGACAAGTGACAAAAATCCAAGGAGAAACAAATCAAAGATAAAACACCCAGAGCGAGAAAATCCACAAAACCTTGAGAGACACACGAGGAGGGAAGATTGTTCCCGTGTTCCCTGTTTGTCTGTTACAGCAGGATTCTGGTTAGACTGAGAGAAAATCTCACCGGTGTTAAAATAACTGTGTTCATCAAACTACGTCGACTGTGGGACAATAAGACGAGCACACAACAATAGTTCAAACTGGATTAGTCTGGTTTTCTATTCCAACCTTAATAAGGATCCAGATTATGTTCAGCTGACATTTAATTCTTCCTTTTTATTTTATTCTCTTTTCTCTCAGTTCAATGGGATTAGTTGAGAGATGATTATGAGGGGAAAGAAAATCCCAAAAATATTTGTGCTATAAGGAGACTTTGTCCAAACACAGAAAAAAAAAAAAAACAAGAGTTCCAGAAATGATTCCGCTCACGGCTTCTCTGTCAAGTCACCGAGGAGACGAGAGCAACGACAGGAGCGGCAACTTCAGTTAATTAAAACGTCTCCCACGGCTGCAGACTTCAGGTCATGTGAGCCTCTGAGTTCTTCTGGGAAATATCACGAGACAGCGGCGACGCAAACGGAGTCTCCAACGCTTGTGACGAAACCAGGAAGTGACAGACGTGGTCCACTCTCGTTAAAGCCACGTGGAAGTTAATCGGTCTGATGGCAGCTCGAGATAAACTGGACCCAAATGATCTCAGTGTCTCCTGCTCGGCGGCTGTGGTCCGTGAGGAGCTGCACACGAGCAGCAGCGTTGTGTTTCTTCTCATTGTGTTGCCCTGAGCCAGAAGCTGCTGCGTGAGACCGATGAGCTTTCATCCTGTGAGCTGACAAACCGAATAAACCGCTCTGCGCTTGGGTGGCGGCTTTTAGCGACGCAGCACAAACGTGACGTGAGCTGATGCTTGACTCTCTTGGCATCTTGACATCGCAGCGTGTCATCGCACGTCAGACATCAAACGTCTCAGTAAACAAGCCTGAACATCCACCTGCTGCAGAACTGTGAGATCCTCTGACGCTGGAGGTCAGGGTTTGTGTTCGAGTCGACGCCAGTGACGAGAGGGAAACACATTGAAGTGCTGGTGTGAAGATGCCAATTTATATTTATGCGCCACTATGAATATTACACCACGATCCGCGACAAACAACCATGAGAAGAGAAGAGAAGAGGAAAAGTGTCGTCCGCTCACCAATAAACGGACAACAGCATGAAAACAGACGAGGATAAAAACAAGCTGCAACAGAAACAACATAAAACCAGCAGCAGGCAGGAACACAGGGCTGGACTGCTCCCAGTTCTTGTTGACTTGGATTGAAGGATTTCCAGAAGAGGTTTTTTAGCTGCCAGAGGGAATCGACAGCGCCTCCAAGAGCTCAAAGGCTCAAACTGGCTGAAGCGAGGATGAGCTGTCAGGAAGCTCCTCGTTCCTCCGTCACCTCGCAGTAAATAGTTGGGTCGAGGGTATTTTACTCAACATCGACGCAACTCGGGGGGGGGGGGGAAATAAATCTGAAGTTTAAGTGAGCGAGCAGGAAGATGAGAAGTACCGAGAGACACGATTCTCAGGAGCTGAAAGAACAAGAGCATCTGAAGGTCCTGGTCGACGGTGCTGCACCACAGGGCCGCTCTCACATCTCATAGTGACGCAACATCTGGGTTTGAGATTGAAGATTCAAGCAGCCAGATGTGTTCTATAGTTTGGCTCAGCCTCAGAGAGAGGGTGAGGAGTTTGGACATCCAGGAAAGCCTGAGCCTCTGCTCCACCTCCACCAGGGAGCAGATCCAGGAGTCGACCCTGGACTCACTGCACACTCGATCGGTCCTGAACGATCCCCCGGAGGAGCACGAGGATGTAGCTGCAACCATGACCTGACCTGTAAATACACATTAGAGCTTTTTATGAATATACATAAATGGGAGGACGGTGTTTGTGCTGCACATCACAGATCTGAAATCAGCGACACGACACAGGAGCTGTCTCATTAAAAAGAAAAGAAACATTTATGGCTGATTTCGTATTTCGTGGACGTCTCAGTGTCCAGTCAGACGGAACCATCGACTTTTTTATTGGCAGATTTTGCAGCATGTTCATCCGAAGCAGAAATCCGTCAGAGCTCATCTGAATCAGTTTGTTGAAGATTGTTCACGGCGGCTCGACTTGGAAGACGGTTTGTGATGAGCTCCGCTGAAACATCTGGGATTTGACTGTTGGGCATTTGTTGCATGTTTGCTGACGGACCAGTGGTTTGTAACAAGTAAACACACATTTACAATTGATTCTTTTTTATGTACTTACTCACCTGAACTTCTTTGAAACTCACAGACGTCACAGAACACTTTAAAAAGTACACAAACAGCCTCCACGCACTAAAGAAGTCGTCTCCCACCCCTGGTATTAATCTGTGGTCCCCCCCACACACCGCAGGGCATGTTTGGGACGCTAAGACATTTCATAGAGGCTCAAAATGAATCTCTGTGTGTCTCGACGTGGTTATGATGACTTCTGTAAACCACTTTGCAGCCACTTTGCTTTTTCATCAGAGAGAAACCTCCCATGCAGACGTGGTGCAGACGTGGTAATCTCTCCACAGAGTCGTCTCAGCGGAGCAACGGTCAACTGCAGAGGGTGTGTCCGGCCGCAGCCACACACACACACACACACACACACACACACACACACACACAC